CCCAGGGCCAACCGCACCAGCATATGGTCTCACAAGGGGTCTGATGATCTCATCTCGGTACCTAATGGCAGTCAGGCTACCTCTGGCGAGCACATGGGTTGTGCGGTCCCCCAAAGAAATGCCACCCCACACCATTACTGACCCACCGCCAAACCGGTCATGCTGGAGGATGTTGCAGGCAGCAGAACGTTCTCCACGGCGTCTCCAGACTCTGTCACGTCTGTCACATGTGCTCAGTGTGAACCTGCTTTCATCTGTGAAGAGCACAGGGCGCCAGTGGCGAATTTGCCAATCTTGGTGTTCTCTGGCAAATGCCAAATGTCCTGCACGGTGTTGGGCTGTAAAGCACAACTCCCACCTGTGGACGTCGGGCCCTCATACCACCCTCATGGAGTCTGTTTCTGACCGTTTGAGCAGACACATGCACATATGTGGCCTGCTGGAGGTCATTTTGCAGGGCTCTGGCCGTGCTCCTCCTGCTCCTCTTTGCACAAAGACGGAGGTAGCGGTCCTGCTGCTGGGTTGTTGCCCTCCTACGTCCTCCTCCACATCTCCTGATGTACTGGCCTGTCTCCTGGTAGCGCCTCCGTGCTCTGGACACTACGCTGACAGACACAGCAAACCCTCTTGCCACAGCCCGCATTGATGTGCCATCCTGAATGAGCAGCACTACATGAGCCACTTGTGTGGGTTGTAGACTCCGTCTCATGCTACCACTAGAGTGAAAGCACCACCAGCATTCAAAAGTGACCAAAACATCAGCCAGGAAGCATAGGAACTGAGAAGTGGTCTGTGGTCACCACCTGCAGAATCACTCCTTTATTGGGGGTGTCTTGCTAATTGCCTATAATTTCCACCTGTTGTCTATTCCATTTGCACAACAGCATGTGAAATTGATTGTCAATCAGTGTTGCTTCCTAAGTGGACAGTTTGATTTCACAGGAGTGTGATTGACTTGGAGTTACATTGTGTTGTTTAAGTGTTCCCTTTATTTTTTTGAGCAGTGTATATTATCCATTACTTTAGCTTTCTATTTCACCCTTTTATCGCATTACTTTTAACTATTTCAACCATTTAGCTCATCACTTTTGACAAACTAGTTCCACCATTTAGCTCAATACTTTTAGCTAACAAGTTCAGCCATTTATCCCAATTAATTGTAACTATCTTGTTCCGCCATTTAGCTAATTACTTTTAACCAACTAGTTCAGCCATTTATCTAATTATTTTTAACTAGTCCAGCTATTTATCCCTTTATTTGTTGCTTGCTAGTTCAGCCATTTATCTAATTATTTTTAACTGACTAGTGCAGCTATTTGTATAATTAAGCTATTTATCTCATGACTTTTAGCTATCTATTTCTGCAATACAGCCTATTACTTTTGACTAACTAATTCAACCATGTATCCATTACATCACTATTTTGACCGTGTACTTCACTATTTCAACTTGATTACTTTTAGCTAACTATTTTAACCATTTATAAATTTCTTTTAGCTTAAGTTTTCAACCATTTATTCATTACTTCAGCTAACTGTTTCAGCCTTCTCTGCTAACTGTATTGTAAAAACTGTGTCAATATATTTTTTAATCAAATCATAATTCACTTCTTTTTTGAAATGGGCAGGCGACTCTCTCCACCAATTCTTTAGCAACAGCAGAAGTAGCCCCTAGGATGCAAGTGTTTGCCCCTGGGCTGCTTCATAATGAGTTAAAAGGTAAACAGTTGATATGAAGGACATTAACAGCACCAACAATGTTAGTTTTATATTGTTTCAACAGAGCAGCAGAGAGAAATGTGGTTCCTCTTTAACTGTGACTTTGTTCTGCTAACCACAGTGAGGTCTGACTTCCTATATCTCATGCATGAGGGAGCATCTTGTTAACCTGTGATAGTTCTTGTCAAAACTGTTGCTTTACATATATAGACCTTGTCTGCAGAAACTCATTTTTACTTGTTAATAGCAGGGTTGTTCATGTAAAAAGGCACAACACTTTAAGATAATTAGTGTTTTTGAGCAGATTGGAAACAGGAATTTCAAGATAACAAGCCCTTAAATGTTGCATGTGAGATGTTTTTAACTTATAGCACTTATGGCAGTTGAATTGTCAGGTTAAGCAGAAGTGTAAGGAATTAACAAGTATGTCTTCATTATCATATCATTATTCTGTGATTTAAAAACATCATTCACTGTCTCTGCCAAATGGAAAAATAACAAGAATATGACTTCTTTGGTACCACAATAATTTTATCTGCCATCCTGTAATTTGGGGGAAAATTAAGGTACTTTTGTGAACATAACATTTTTACCAGTAGAACAAATTATGCTGTCACAAGTGTCTGTTAGTTGTTGTAGTAACAGGACAAATGGTCATACTGACAAAGAAAGTTCATATCAAACCGGGTAAAAATCAATAGAAATTTATTTTCGTACATATCAAAAATATCTGCAACACATTTGCATAGATGGACACAAAATAGCTTACATGATTGATTCATGTGATTGTAACAATGAGAAGTATGCTCAACTGGGAATTTCAAAGTATTTCAGAAGGTGTCATCTTGTGTAAATGTAAATTAATTCAGATCCCAGTTTGTGAAATAACTTCATCTTTTAGAGGTTTAGTTCAGTGGAAAAGGAGTTAATATTGATATTTTGATATAACTATTATTTTCTCTACATCCAAATAGATAATTACTCCTTATAAATTACAACAGAATAATAAATATTCCAAATATATTATTTCTTGGTTTATTAAATAATTTTCAGATATTTTTTCAGAACCAATCATGTCACACAAAGAAGGGAAAACCGTGTGGTCAGTAATTACTTTTTAACTTAAATGCTATAATGTTCCTCTATCACAAATAAAAAGGAAATGAAAAGCAAGAAAAACACAAATGTCTTCAAAAACAAGTTCTCAGCTTCTCAAAGAAACGTCTTCACAGATCGGTAAAGCACACGGATCGACTCCGATGTGTTTTGTTCTGCTGGAGTCGGCAGTTAGAACGTTTTTGTCGGTGTCACACTGACACCACTATCACAGAAATGAATCCTTCACCTTCTTCTGTTGTAACTTTCTTTTGTGTCTTGCCAATGCAACTCCGCTAGAAAATCCACATTGCCAAAACATTCCAAAGGGTTTCACCAGGACGGACTTAATCCAACATTTTCCTCAACTGGCCAGTTGTGCAGCGGGTGACTTGCTGTTGCAGCTTCTCAATCAGTTGGCATACTGTCTGTAAAAGGCAACCTTGACGCGCTCTATCTGGTGACACAGTTTGATGGCGGGACCGAGCTTCAGGTCCATACACTCCTGTACAGTTGGCAGAGTTAACAACAGCAGGGCCTGACCGTCAATGTCCTGCACAGAAGTAAGACACAAATAAATATTTAAAGACAGTTTTAAGAGTTCCTGGCCAACTCGTGGTGTGTATTTTAACTTTCCTCCTTCCCTCAGCATTTAATGCCTTTACCACTGTTAAGACTCAATGCTTTTGTTGTTGTTTAAAAAATAAAAAATTATTTTGCTAGTCCAGCCAAGGAAAAGATATTGGTCATAAAAAGTAATGAGAATAAAAGTAGGAAAATGCAAATTAGCCTCTAAATTAGTCAAAACAAAAACAAGCAGATGGTTTTTATTGCATTATTGATTTACTTTTTGAATCTTGATCTAAAAAAATAATCAAGTTTATGATACAAAGCTAAAAATAATAAACCCTAGCTATCAAGACAGAGAAAGGAATTTGATCAGCATGTTGATTGGCTCTTTGTCACACTTTATTGACGTCATAAACTGAAGAAATATCTAATCAAACACTCTGTCATATCAATGTTGGTGACCGACTTCCTAGTGTCGGCGCTGTAATAAAATACAAATATTGGCTCAATGTGTTGCAAGTGGAAAACGTGGGGTCGGACGGCAAAGATCAGAGAGAAATTAAATTTACCTCTTTGTTATTTAAGAGATGTTCTGAACAAATGAAAAAGAGGAGTTAAGCGTGAAAGTGAGGACTTTTTGTAAATTGAAGACATTTTGTTTGGTCCTCACTTCTTCAAATGGCTGTTTTGAAGGATTAAGATTTAGGATTAAGATTAGAATCAGGTTTAGGTTAGGCATGCAGTTGTGATGGTAAAGAATGTATTGGCCAAGATTGGCCTCACGTGTGTGTGTGTGTGTGTGTGTGTGTGTGTGTGTGTGTGTGTGTACCTGCTCCTGGAAGATGTTGGCCAGGGACGCACAGTCAGTAGAGTTTATAAACTGAACGACTTCCTCCACGCTCCACTCCAGAGGATTTCTGTCCAAAACCAGCTGACCCTCCTCCTCCACCTGACACACACACACAAAGACAAAATGTAAATTACATAATCAGAAACGTGCCCAAAATTGTGCAAAGAACACAGTTAATGTGGCCAAATGTGTCTAAGGTCGCATTCAGATTATCTTTGTACCTCAGTCTGGACAGTCGGATCAGAATTCGTGCAACTCTGACATCACTCTAGAGCGAACAGTATCACAATTCTGCGCTAGCGGGAAGTAGCAGACTCGCTCCACAAAAAGCCATAATTAAGCTGGGGTTCTCTTTCTGCCCATCCTCATTATCATTCGCTCACAAATTCCCCTTCTTCCACGTGAAATCAACTTATAGTCAATGACCAAATCAATACATTGATAACATCATGTGACTAAACGGGACACATGATTGTTACTAACCACTGTGAGGGCTGAACCTCCATCAGTGTGCCGTCTCTCTGTCTGCACCTGCATGTCTTGTCCTTTGGGTGGCTGGTACTTGTTGTTGTTCTGGTTGTAGGCCGACAGCGAGCGGGTGGACCTCCTGCGGCGCTCAGGCACCTCCTGGCTGGCGGTAGTGTCGCCGACGCTGAAGGTCCTGCGCAGCGTCGTGGCCCGGCGAGGGCGACTACTGTTCACCTCCACCGAGGAGGCGTCAGTGTGGTCCTCACGTGGCTCAGAGCTGGTGCCTTCACTGCCCGACTGACACGCCATCTCTTCATCCTCCTCTCCCTCATCACTGTCCTGAAGGAGGAAGTAATAGAAAGGTCAGAGTCAGAGAGGCGAGGTGCAGGTGTTGTGTTTGGGCTTCAGTCTGGTTGTGGCAAGACCTCTGATGCTGCTCATTGACAGAAATCAAAATTTTAATGTTCTTAAAAGTCCTTGTGGTGTTTAATTTAGCTCAGTTTGTTTGTTGTCCATGCAGAAAACATTTTTATGCAGATTTTTATTCATTTAACCATTTAAATTGATCTTTTCATGAATTATTTGAGACTTAAACTTTGTGTTTTTATATTTTAAATATACAATATGTACCAACTACATGATACCTGTTATCAAATATTCTGTTGTATATTATTACGAACTAGTTTCATATTAGGAGATGCACATATTGAGACATTTTTCAGTATATTGAAACATTTTTAAATCATCAATAAGATCTTTTTTTCAGTCAGCATAAAAGCTGCCCTGCTGCTACTGTACTATGTTTAGGTTTCATTAAAAGGGAAGTTGTATCTAAACAGGAAATCTTCTGTCTTCTTACATCTGTTGAAACACACACAGAATTTGAATGTAAACACACCTACTACACCATGTTTTGGCCAGTTGGTATAAAACATTAATCAGCCGTTTCTTTCCCCATGAACAACATACATTTTTTTGTTTTGTTTTCTCAGTCTCTTTATAAAATTTCTGATTGCAGACAAACGGCCAAAACTATGGTGAAACCCGACCACTCTCCTGCTTCTGTGTCCGGTGTAACACTAGAGGAGATATGAGCTGGGCAGAAAAACAGGTGAGATAAGTCTGAAGTTCCTTGTGAGTGACGTTAGACATGAGTCATGTTATCCTCAGAGTTTCACGTTTCCACTAAGGGCAGGGATCGACAGTTTAGATGGGAGTCAGATAAGTTTGTTACTGGGGGTTGAGTCTGTTCCAAGTTGGTAAATACCCAGATTCTTCCAGCTCTGCTAATCTTAATGAATCTTCAAGGGTTTGTTATAGCAAAGAGAAATGTACAAAACATTTAGAAAGGTATAATTTAAAAAAAAATGTTTGGGTTCTGGCTTGTTGTCTGAACATTCAGTTTGCAATCACATGAAACAGAGAAAAACAGAAAATCCTCCCATTTAATGGCAACTAATCTTCTGTTGATCAACTCCTCAATGAATTGACTAATTGTTTCTACGCTACAAAACCAGCAACATTTTATAGACTCAATAATGAATTGATTAATTGAGAAAATCATCATCAGATTAACCATCATTTTGTTGCAGCCTGACGCAGCTTAATCACTTAAAATTTGTCTTGGTGACAGAAACCAGATGCGAACCAGTCTGACCAGTAAACACTCCACATTTTAGTGGTAAAACATAAAAACATCCCCCAAAAACAATAAGTCAGCACAGAGTTTTTAAGATCAAATGATTTCTTTGCACATAAAACCCAAGGACACATTTAAAATTGAAAGCCTTTAATTGGTGTGACCAAGATGTAAATTATGAGTTGTGCGTGAGTAAACTAAATCAAAAAGCTAAGCTACATTTCCTGCCTGTGAAGCTCCTCTTCTTCCTGCCTCCGTCATTAGCAGGGATGTTTATATTTATACGCTGGATCATGACTGTACACTCAGTATCCGCCTGTTGCGTGAGCAGGAGCTGACAGGACGCCCGTTAACACAATATAAGAGAGGAAGAAAGACTGAGGAAGAAGAGAGACAATGCAGGAAAGTAAAGAGAAGTGCAGTGTTATCTAACCTGCGGTGAGCCGGCAGGAGTGTAGTCCACAGCGGACGAGCGTCTTTTCTTCTGCACAAAGATAGCTTTCCTCTTCTTCCTGCGGCGCGTCGGCTTGGCCAGGTCTCCCTCTGCCGTCTCCTCTCCTCCCATCGGCTTGGACAGCTTCCTTTTCTTCCCATAGTAATAGGCTGCGAATGCACAGCAGATGTCGAAAACAATATACCCAAAACAAATCTTAGGCAGAGGCAATTATACACTCTGCGGCGTCACAAGCTCTGATTTGGGTCCTCTTCATAGCTGTGGTGTAGGAAGTGATGCGTTTAATTATAGAGACTCACTGTATTTGGTTTTGGTCTGAACGGAGCAGTTCTCTGGGCACTTGTCAGTGACGAGGACGGGGCTGAAGAGGTTCGGGCAGCACTGCAGCTTCACGCACACCTTACGGCAGAAGTCCGGGATCTGGTCAGCGAGGCGGACTATCCGGATGGTGGAGCGATAGGTTTTCCCTTTATATCTGGAACAAAGGAAAGAAAGAGGGGAGCAGGGATGGGATGTCATGACATTGTCAGCCAGTGATTACACTTTTATTTATGAGAACAATGCATAATTAAACTATCTGTAATCCATCAAAGCATTAGACAGTGAATGATGATTGCCTACCCAGTAATGATGTGAAAATGGGCTGTTTTTAGGAGAGCTGGCGTGTATTCGGTTGATGAGGGCTATACAGGAGAGCCGAGAGTGACACAGGGTCAATTTTGCAATCTATCTAATGGCTAAGGTTAGGAAAGGGGAGCTGATCTGTTGGCAGCACTCAAGGACAGATCTGAACCTGCAATCTGATGTGGCTGTTCTGAAGTAACTCTGACTGAACCGGAGTGAATTCTTTAACATTTGAACAAACACAAATTTAAAATCAGATTATATCTTTAATACGATTTGGTCCTAAAAGGTCAGTCTTTATTGTTTTTGTTCATTTCTTTAAGGTTTTAAACTTCATTAATAAACAAGAATAAATCAATACAAAACTAACTAAATAGTGCATTTTATCATGCATACTAAGAACTAAATGTCAATGAGTTAGTATAAATATTTCATGATAAATTACCGGCCACCAAAAATTCCAAATAGCTTGTCTTGGGGTCCAAACATATGAGCTTAGCTGATCTGTTTATATATTTTTTTTAAATCCATAAACCGTATTAAAGGATAAATGTTTCAATTCCATCTTAAAATAATAATCAGGTGCCCATGAACAGGTTTTTCTTGCTGCAGTGTTATTTCCTCCTGTTCATACTTCCTCAAAACCTTTGACGTAAGTGGTGGGAGCCAAAATAAAAAACTTATTTCAAAGTAAAAAAGTAGTTTATCTGAAGTAAATATGTGGCGTCAGCAGTTTAAGTTTGTCAAATCAAGTGATGTTTTCCAAAGATACAGTCTTTTTAGTATTAACTTCCCTGTTTGTTCCCCTGTTAAGCTGCAGTGGAGGTGATGGCAACAAAAAGACAATAACTGAAAAAGCCTAAATGTGGTCAGAAAAAAAAACATTTCTAATCTTGAAATGTCTTGTTTTTGTCTGCTCAACAGTACAAAACCAAACATATCAAGTTTACAAAGCAGCAAATCATCACTTTTGAGAAGCTGAAAATGTTCGTCATTGTTGCTTCAAAAACTACGTTTTACCATTAATAGATAATCAAAATTGTTTGCTTAGTTTTTCAGCACTAATATATGTCCTAAAAATGAATGTATGAATCAGTTAAAGTGCCATGTGATAACAGCTGCCAGCAAGTTCCTTGGAGTCTGTTTTGGTATTCACTATTTTTACAGACCACAAGTGTAGCAATACAACAAGACAAGACCTGATTAAACTAAATAGAATTTGGATCCAAACCCGACTGTGGTTTAAGTTAGAAATTAGTCAGAAATTGTTAGAAGTTACTAGTTAGTTATTACTCCTTAAAGTAACTGTTACTTGTTACGTTACTATATTACTTTCACTACACCCCCCCCGCTTTTTGGCTGACTTTAACAACATAAGGTGCGGTGCGCTGACCTACTGCGCAGTCACGCATTCATGCATTCACGCCAAGGATGGTGCGTTCTAGTAACGCAGCGTTACTAGTAACTGTAATAATATTATTATTTTGGAAAATGAATCCATTACACTACTAGTTACTGGGAAAAGTAATTATTACTGAGTAACGCATTACTGCCCAACACTGATCACATCATGTTTAAATTCCTTAGAAAAAGCATCTACATGTTAGAGCCAATCAAAATACAACAGGATTGAATAAATTCCCTGTCAAGTTACACCTTTCCCATCATGGTAATACTAACATTTTTGTTGTTGATTAATTGAACTGAATTGTGTACTGAACCTTCTACACGCCAGTCAGAAAGGCCTCAGCTCGCTGGGCAGTAAATGCCTCAAATAAAGTAACTCCTTTGTCAAGTTGTCAAAAGATTCACGCATGAATGTGTCACCCACCGCAGGTGACTCACTAGAACATATGACTGGCCAATTCTGTCTCATTTCAGCCAGAAAAACTGGGTAGTTTTTGATTAGAAAACACAGAGCATGCAGCCTGAAGCTGTAGAATAATTTGGCTCCGTGCAGCCAGCAGTGGAAGAAAATGCAGACCTCGTACTAACCACTGCAGCAAAAAATAAAAAATTCAATGGAGGGGAGCAAACGGACTCGTAGGGACAGAGAGAGGGAAAAACACCAGGCTCTTCTGTGAGGGCTGCTAGTGATTTTTAATGAGAAAGATGTGATGATAGTCAGATTTATTACATTTAAGCATGGAAGCCAATAGGACATGTCATTTTATGACCACAGCTCAATAAAATGACCCCTGAAAACGACCAAATCCAATGGGGGGAGATCTGCTCTAGCCTCTTTTTGGAACATTCTCCTTTGTGTATTTTGGTTTCCTCACTTGGCTTTGAGGGTCTCCTCTTGGCAGTCCCAGCTCTGATCCTCCAGCTCCTGCAGCTCCTTCAGGACTCGTCCTGGCTTGTAGGCGGCGTTGATCAGCATGCTCAGCAGCTGGAGGCAAAAGCAGAGTTCAGATTAAAAATAATAAAGTCCTGGTTCAACTGAAAAATTCTCAGGAAGAATCAGAGCAGAGCTGAACTGCACAAACATGAAGGAACAAAACTGACAAACAGATCACACCAGTCACCAGTCGGGGCAAAACCGAACACTCACACACACATGCAGAAAGTGCAGGTACATGTGAACGCACAAACACAGTCTCTGGAGAAATTAAGAGGCTGTTTTGCTAAGCAGTAGTGGCGGTGTGAATCTGTAAACACACTTGACTGACAGCTTTTCACATTAAAATGAAGGCACTGCTGGGAAACTGCAGGTGGTTAACAAGACATCGCTGTCTCGCCCTCCATCTTTCACCTCCTCCTCTTTCAATCTCTGTCGCCCCTCTTCTGCCTTTGAAAGTGTGTAACTCTTTGATTGAAACTGCTCGTCTCCGTCCCCCTCCCCCCCTGCTCTTAACATCAGCCCACCTCTTTGAGGACCAGTGTGCATTTTCCAGGTCCGACGGCTTGCGGCAGCTCTGCGATGCGTCCCTTGTTGAGGTACGGTCCTGAGAAACAGCGGTGGTTGACAAAAATCTTGGAGCAGCAGTATCTGCCATTGGCTGAGCCTGGGATAGAGGAAGGACCATAAACAGGAATGTTAACCAGCATGGAAATTAATAGGAAACGTGAACTTGGCTTAGATCTCTTTTAAAAAGTAATAAGCCCATTTTATTTCATTCTTCCCTTTACTAACAACAACAAATATACAGTATGCCCAAGAGGGAATTAATCTGACTACACTGAGCCATCTAAATAAAAGCACACACAAACATGAAGCATGGTTTGCAGCATCTAAGATCTCAGAACAAAATTAAACAAATCGAAATCTTGGCTCTAGTGTGTGTGCGTTAGAATGTTTGAGAAGTCCTGAATTACTGTAGTAAAACCCTGTTTCAGTCAAACACACACTGACTACACACAAGGAAGCCACATCTATTAAACAAAGGTATACATTTGGAAGAAGAAATTATAGAAATGCTAGACTATACAGACATGTTTAAAAAGTAAAAGAATCCGTTTATTCTTGGACAGCATAATCTGAAATATTTCCATCAGAAATATTTAAAAAGGTCACTGAATTCAAAAGGTCCTTTTGACACGACTAGAACAAAACACAGAAGCAAACCTGACATGTTAGAATAACTCCAAGTATGTAACACAATCTCCAAGGCTACTCATTAAAATAACAGTTCACTGAATAGGAATGAATGTGACTAAATATATCTATACAGTACATTGCCTTTTGACAGTCTGTGACCTGCCCTTTCCTCTTTCTACTTGCTCAGAGTTCATCTTATTGCCATAGTGAACAAACCTGATGGATAGTGGCTCTCTCACCTACAGCTAGTCTCTTGTGATGTTAATGGTCATCAGAGCGGTTTTACATTTTGTGATAGTTGTACATTGTCTTCCATCAATTTCTGCAGCAAGTTTTTCTGGTTTTTGTGCTGTTGCTTTGTTGATGTGTAAAACTGCCTTTTTAAATGAACTGGTAGGCGATGCGATGAGACCAGGATGACAAGGATCAGATTTTTGTGTTCACTTGGTCTGAAGATTTGCAACTACATTCTGTAAAAAATTGGAACAGTGTTGTCCACCTTGACCACAGTGTTATGATGCTTCAGTCATTGGTTTCTTTTTTTAAAACTCACTTTTATAAACTTGTTTTTGATGAACTGTTACTACAGAATAAATATCTTTTCAGGGCCTTTAACAGCTCATCCTTTGTTCTATTTTGCTGCCTACGAAGCTGCATGCGTTATTGTTCTTTATATAGATCTGTAGTAATTGACCCTAAGCATTTCACCACACAGGTGAATACAGAGTCAAACTGGGCAAAGAGTACGTCCTGTTCATGCCCCTCCCCCTCCCCCGAGATGAATTAGGGTCGACAGAACAATGCTGCTCTCCGCCCTTCCTGCAGCACCTGGAACCGCACTGCTAGGGGTGACTAGTAATTAGGTAAGGTGATAAATATGCATGAGCGAGTGGGTGGTTTTTAAACAGAGAACTTGGAAAAGAGGGCAAAGGTCTCCTGGAAACAACACTGAGCCCACCGCTCTCTTTGTGCCTGAACATAGGTGTTGTTTACATACAGATCTTCTGCAAACTCAACTCTTGTTTCTTCCAGTGTTGGTTTGCTGAAATGCATTAAAAATACACTTAACTGTATTTAGGCTCCCATGACTCTCCAAAAAAGAATAAAGTATTTTTATCTGTTCTGTTTATCGGTTTTCTAAATGTGTGGCTTCCATCGGTTAAAATATTTTAAATATTATGATGCAGTGCTAATATTTACTACGAGTTTCACTGGGCAAACCGACCAAATAGTTTTAAACAAAACCCAGTTATCTTAGGCACTGATTTGGAAGTGATTTATTTGTCTATTGCATTGTAAAACTGCACAAGGCAAAGAGAGCATGTTGAAGCTAACTGCTAAGGGTTTTGACCTCTAAATAAATGGTATATTTAACTTGAAGGCTCATCTAAAACCTTTGTGAATGCTTGTGTGTAAAGCTGTGTCTTAACTTAAAAAGAAAATGGACAAAACTACAAAAACAAGACTCAAGTTATAAAGTTGATGTTAAAAAGAGACTCACTTTAGAAGACTTAAATGGTTAAAAAATATATATATCTGTCTCCGTGTTGTTGTGTGTGAAGGTTTTCCAGTTGATAACTGACCAAATGCAGACATAGTAGTATAAAATCTGATAGCAGAAAAATGTTTCAGCTCTCTAATGTATTAATGATAGATGAGGATTTCCTTTGCAGCACCATTCAATAAACATGCAGGGAAAAACAATCTTCACTTGTGAATATTTTAGTCATATTGTTCTATGAGAGAGAAAAAACCCCAAAGCTTCACTAAAGAGGAAATGAGACTCAATAGGCCACAGTGCAAACTGTAGCCACAAGTTGCATCTTGCTGTAGCTGCTCTTTGTGTTCTTTAATAATCTTTTGAATCAAAGCAGGAACACACAACATTACTCTGTCACCAGTGTTGCTTTCCCTCGACTGAGATAACTTACTACATTGTCAGTATCACTTTCATCAACTACATGTAGAGAACAAAGAGTTACTCTTTGGATTGTGTTGCCAAAAGGCACACTAAACTTTTTAAGAGAACATACTGGCAGTTTATATGAGTCTATCTCATGACGGAAAAGCCAGTTTTGCTAAATTGGACTGTAATATTTCACATTGAACACTTCCAACTAGGGCTGACCGATTTGGGAAAATAATCTACTTGCGATTTTTCTGCCAGATATTGTGATTACAATTCGGTTTGTGATTTTTTTTTTATTGAAGTTTTGCTAAAGTTCAATATTCACTGCCAGTCTATTTTTGACTGTCAAGCAGCACAGAGCAGATGAACCAGGCAGAAAGTCAGACACAGAACCATAGAGAATCCTGTCGATTTTCAAAATAAAACACCCCCGATCGTACATCAACAATAAACACAGTTAAAACAGACCAAAAAAAAGATAATTTAACTAAGTAGCCTACTTAACCTAGGTAGAAGCACAAAAATCAAGGACAATTGAATAAATAAGCAAAATCTGAATAACTCAGCAAAACCAGGCAGGCAACACGCTCTTATTCTGCAATGCTCCATGTAGCATGTGTAACCTGCATAGAACGTAACGGAACCGGCTCACAGAGAGCTGTTATCCATAGTTGAAGCACACAAAATAACAAATTAACAACACGTTAACAACGTGTAGGCTAAATGCTCCGCTGCTGAAACACTTTAGTGTGAGTTGACGCCAGACAAAACTGCAGCACAGCCGCTGCCTCGGTCTGTTCGGCTGGCGCCATGATCCCACGTTTTCCTCCAGTTTCGTTTGTTGTAAAATGTGCACGCCCTGTGCCCACTCTGATTGACTGACACAACACACTAATAAATAATTGAGAATTTATAAATGGGATTTGGTGTCAATGAGTTAGTCACAATAGGTATTAAATACTCCTTCAACGGCAAATATATTTTGAGTCAATCATTAATGTGAGAACAAAACTCTTCTTTATTGATGCCATTACTTTTCAACTCAACTGGAAATGTTCTGTCGTGCCTGAATAAAGATGTACAGGTGCATGTAAAAAAAATAAATAAAATTTCCTCTGTAATTGAATTCAAAAAGTGAAGCTTTCACATTCTCTAGATTCAAAGTGATATATTTTGTTTTAGTTTAGTACTGTTAAAGATTATGACTCATGGTAAACTACAGGGTCTCAAAACTATCAGAATTTTAGAATAGAGAATATATCATATAGAAATGTTGACCTGAAAAGAGCTCTAACCAGCTAATTAACTCGAAACACCTGCAAAGGTTTCCCTAGCTGTTAATCTCAGTCTGGTTCTGGTGCTAACAATTAAGTTATTCTAATCACACTCGTGTTTAAACACAATTTCTAATGATAAGTTACACACATTTTGTTAGTTAACATTAACATTTTTTGAGATGCACCTTTTTTTTTTTTACTTTAAAAGATAAAAGAACAACACTGTTACACATTATATGTCTGAAATGGACTTAGGAAGAAGATGAGACTCTAAAAACACAAAGTACATACTGAGCATCACAAATTGGTGAGGTGTAGAAGTATCTGAAGAGAGGGGTTTCCCCTTCACTCACACATAGCAGCACATTAGCATAAGTTTCTGGAGATAAATCATGCGTAACGTGGCTTTTGATTACCTGGGTCCATGGCAACGGGCTGGCAGTGGTTGACAGGTGTCACCTCTACCGGCTGCGACGGAGCCAACCTACGGGGAAAGACAATCAGTACAATCAAACTAATCAATGAAATTTTCCAGACGGGAAGCAACAGAGCAACCGAATGATGGCTCATTTTACAGATCAATCTTCACAACAGCTACAATATTTTCTGTCAGATATAGAAGCAGGTTAGAAAGCAGCAGGGGGGGACAAAGTGACGGGAGGGGGGTTATTGATAAAAGGATTCCCCTGAAGGTGAGAAATGGGATTTGCGGTTAGATGAGAGAGCTGACAAAAGTGCTGCTGAAGACCTCATATTTCTCCTCCTCTCCAACCACCATTTCCACCTCGCACTCCCGGGGCTGCCTTTTCCAGCCGACGATGTAACATGTCATTTGTCAACAAAATCAATCAGTGCCCCGGGAAAGCAATTTCTGCTCTAAAAAGCCACTGTTTCAATTAATAGCTTAGGAGTGACAGAGAGGGAGAAAAGCCTTGAGGGCTTTCTGAAGAAACCTTTACTGAGATTTTTTAGCACACAGGTGGAAAGATAGAAAACAAAGGGAAATAGACAATAGCTGTGGTGAGGTTACAGTGATATGGATTAGTTGACTGACAGTATTTCACTTCCATTTAACATTTGGAAAACTTACCGCAGAGCCGTTTGAATGAATGTTCACCAAACTTCAATTTAAGTATTTTAAGTTAATTCGATTTTCTAAGTGTTCTGATGTGTCCAAATGTAAGGAAGCCAGATTATCAAGACATAATTACTATTTTGTTTGACTTTTTTGTTCTACACATACTATGGCTGCAACTAATGATTATATTCATTATCAATTCATCTGACGATTATATTGTCTATTCACTGATTCATCGTTCTATTAAATGTCAGAACTTTAAAAAAGGGTTTCAGTTTACTTTTTCATAAGACAATGTTTCCAAACTTTTAGGCTCATAACCCCTTAATAAAGCAGGGTTTACTTGTAACTCTTCATCGCAGGTGTCAGATGTCTATAAGTTTTGACCTCTAAACCTCTGACCCGCTGTTTTATTGTCCCAATTTAAATACATTTTTGAGGCCCAAAAAAGTAAAACAATCACTATTTGGCATTTTTGCTTGGAAAACAACCTGATTGATTGATTATCAAAATAAATGCTGATTATTTTACTGTTGATCAACTGATCAATTAATCAGCTTAATCTTTTCAGCCCTAATACCAACCATACCATATTTTATTATTTGAATCATCAAAATATAAAAAAGTAATTTGTGCAGGTCTAATCCCAAGGATGCTGGAAAATTACTATACTCCAAGGGGATAATCCACTTAAGTTCTGTGTACTAAATATATAAAATGCATGTAATAAAAGTAATAAGCATTTCTGAGATTGAGACATTCCTTTTTTGTTAACATGTGATACGTCAAACCTATCGCCTTATATATGTTCATTTAGAACTTACTTTAGTAAATACGTTTTACAGGAAACGTTAACATTTCCTCATAACGAGGAAACGTTTGTATTAATTGTGAACTATCAATGAATTTAATTAGTTTTCCATACAATAACTGCTCCTAGCAAATAATGCATACTTAATATTTTTATGGTTTAAGTAGGAAGCCCAAAAACACTTGATTATATTTGGTTAAAGATTGCGCATTTTGTTAAATTGTAAAAATGTCAACACCGACTTTAACACAGGATGCGTTAAAATATCTAATCATGTGTAAACATTCAGTTGCTGAGGTCAGGTGACGCCAAAGACTACAACATGATTCTCATAGTTTTTGAGACATCTGCATTTGTTATGTTCCTCCTTAAATCTGTCACAAAATCTGTCTGCATATTGTCCGGCTGGGGCTAATTAAACGGATGCTAGCGTGAAAAAGCGACCGGATTACAGCTCTCTATTGAATAAAACACTCACGGCTTGAACGCCAAAATATATCAGCATAAGCCTTCAAAAACCCGCATCATTCAAACTCCACCTGTGATAGATTTTGATAGATAAATGTCTGTCTCTCTTACTGTTTCTCTGGCTGGACCACTGCTATCTTCTTCTGCTTCTGGCCTGCAGAAAAAAGACAGTTCAAGAGAGTCTGAGTTAAGCTGTCACTCCCAAGTAAATATGTGTATATATTTTGTGTGTGTATACATACAGACAGGTTTGAGTGGAGGGGTCAAAGGGTAAGCGTTGGCCTCGCACCAGCCGACAGGGAAGATGTCCATGGACTCGACGTCCACAATACACTCTGACAGGGGCTTTGCCACACCTGGAGA